CAACAAATTGTAAGAGTATAAACTTACTATATAATATATTTCATTCTTAATATTAATGGAGTTTTTGGGATATGAAAAGGTGTAAAATAAACACAAACATATATTTTTTTTTTATTTAATGTTTATATTTTTAATATTCATTTTCGTAGGTCCATACATAAATGTCTGCATAAAGGCAGATAAAAGATACATACAGACGTACAAGAAAGTTGTATATTGTTTATTTTTTTGTTGTCTTAACTATACGAATTAAAAAGTGGAAAAATTCAGTACGCAAACGGAATACACAATCAAAACGTTTGGAAATACAAAGAAGTTGCAATGTTTCACGTTACAAATACAATTAAACAAAACAAATACAAACAATGTCGTAGAAAGAACGAAATTAAATGGAACAATTCGTGTAACTAAATTAACACTCGGAACAAACATAAATGTTAGTGTTGTGTAGAATCTGATTGAAGTCGGTTAATATTAAGTATTAATAAAAATAATAATAATAATAATTAAAAATTGTAAGTAGTTTGCAAATGAATTGGGATCGCTTAAAGTTAATTCGTTTCATCAGAGTTTTGATCTTCATCATCAATCATCATCATTCTTACGTAATTTCCATTTCTTAATATCCTTTTCTTATTAATTTTCATTTTTTCATTTTGGCACTACCGATATACAGAAATTGTTCCAGTTAAACGTGTGACTTTTACAATACAGAACCCAAAAATTAGGCTAGAAAATCTCTTAAAACTTACTTTTCAAATACATTTCTTTAAAATTCAATCTCTTATTTTTTTTTCCCACCACAAAAGCAAACCTAAACATTATCACAAATAAAAGAACATACAAATACACGTACACAATATAAATATAATAATGTCTAATAGTTTCTTCATTATTAATTAATTCATTAATTTTTTTTTCGCTTCAACAAGTTATATTAATCTTTTTTTTTTTGTATAAGTGAGACACACACAATTGACGATAACGAAAGGATTCAAACCGAACGTTCATTTAAAACTAAAACATCAAAAAAATAATATCAAAAGAGAAAAAACGAACATCGTAATCGCGACACATAACAGAAAAAAACTTCACTTATATAATCAATCATTTTTTTTTTTATTATTCAACTTTCTTTCTTTCTTTCATTACTTTTTAAATAAGTTTTGAGCCGTCGAAGTTCCTGAAATGAGCTTCTGGGAGTTTAAATAGTAACGTTTCATTTTTATATTTTTTTTTCTTCATTTCTTCACTTATTTGCCTTACAAATTAGTTTTTTAATTAAATTGTGCGATAATTCCAATGAAATTCAACGTAAATTACAATAAATCACGAAACAATAGGCACACGACAAAAAAAAAATGAACTAATTAAATACACGAAATTCCTTCCTTACTCCCAATGCTTCTTTTCCTTCTCTTTTTTAATGTATTTAATTAACTCGGTATATACTTGTTTTTCTTGTAATACAATACATGTATTAGCTATGTATTAAACCTAGATACAGTTTCATTTCCCATACGTTTTTATTTTTTTCCTCAAACTATTCGCTAAAAAAATTTTTATCATATAATTTTTCCTTTTTTTTTTGCTTGGTTTATCAATAATGTGACAAAGTCTAGTCCCCTTTATTCATTTAATTTATTTTTTTAATATTTTCTTTAATATATATTCTTTCTACTAGATTTTCGTTTCTTTCGTTTTACTTGATTCCATACGAACAAAAAAAAAGACGTTAATCCATCGAAAACAATACAAAAAGAATAATAATAACAATCATAATACGGTTACGACAACGAAAAACGAAAAAACGGTGTTGGTGTGTGTATACTTGAATTTCGGGTAAAAATGTAACGGTTATCATTTTCCTCTTAGTTAAACTATGCAATAAAATTGTAACAGTAATCCAATTTATCTTTTAACCCCTGTAATATATTATTCTTTACTTTCGCCTTCATTCATTTATTTAAATTAAAGAAATAACGGATCCGAGTTGATTGCAGTAAACAATTGCTTTCATTAGAAGTCTTCACAAACTTTCCTCCCTCGAAGTTTCCTTTGACTAAACCCAACTCGGCTCCGAACCCTTCAGTTGGTTGCAGTATGATTGCCATCTTTTCATATTTTTTTTTTCACAAATAATCCATCAATAACAATAAAATCTGACTATAGAAAATATTAAATGCTAAACAGATCATCCAGCACATCCTCAGCTTCTTCATCATCATCATCATCATCAACCTTTCCTTTTCTTTTAAATATTCCTTCCTATGAAATCATAACGAAAAGGAAACACAACGCAGCGAAATTGATTTATTATTGCCTAACATTTATAGGAGAGTTAATGTTAGATACTCCTCCGTAGTTCATAGTAATATATTTATATATTATATAATAATTATAATAGAAATTATAACTAAATAAACGAAAATGAAATGAGAAACAAAACGATGATTGCATTTCTCTTAAACAAGTATATAGTTCTCTAAGTAAATAGCAAGCATGCTTTAAATATTAATTTTTTACTTAATTTTCTTTCTTTTTTTTTGATTCGAAGTACGATTGTGTGAGTAATAATATTATGTGTTTATAATGATTATTAAGTTAAGTAATTAGTTTTTTTTTTCCTTTGGTATTATAATTGTGTGTATTGTGAGTTTTACATAACTTCTTTTCTTGTTCTCTCGCTCTCAAATCTTTCTCACATTCTTTTTTTGTATCATCTTTCTCTCTTTTTTTCGTTTACACGTCTCGTCTCATTTCTTTCTCTCTTTTTTGTGTTCACATGGTTACTCTTTCTCACTTTTTTTTTTGTTTTGTTTAATTTCTTAGTTACTCTCTTATATTCTCTTTCACTTTCTCTCGCTCATTTGAGTGTGTAAGTTTTTCTTTATTTACTGTGGATTAAACGAGTTATGGATCTCCAAGCCTGTCGTGGTGTCTACTAGAGACTTACGCGATGAACTCAGCCCTGCTGAGTCCCTGCCCTTGCGCGGGAGGGTGGTTGAGGTTGCCTCTAAACTACTGTCTCTTGGTTTCCACACAGGCGACCCTACAACAACAATTCATCATTCATCAGCTGATCTTTTCTAGTCCCTTTCCAATACAACAAACTCGTACAAAACGCATTTCAAACGAAACCCATCAAATTCATAATTAACATTTAACAACGAGTTTAATTCTCGTACGCAAAGATGAATCAGTTTGAAATACGTTTGGCGTACGTTCAAAAACATTTCTTAACTGCACTGTTATATAAGATTTCCTAATAATTAACATTTGGAAAGCATCTTGAAAATAATAATAAAAAAAAATAATCAAAGAAGTAAAAAAATAAATAAACATGTGGATTAGTAATATTTATTTAAAAGAAAAATAATGGAAATAAACTAGTTTTAAATCCCTATCATCAGAAGCCAAGAAAATCCACCCTAAACTCATCTAAAGCTGTAGATATAAATAAATAAATTAATTAATTAAGTAGTGTTAAACAACAATTCACGAATGCAATAAACTAATAATATTTTTTATACCGAGTTTTAAAACAATCAATTAATAAATTAAATAATAGAAAACAAAAAATATACACACGATTCGAATACTAATAAATGTCACAAATAAAAAATGCTTTCCAAATATTTGCTTTTCGTTCCGGACATCTCTTGCATTGAGTTTTTCATTTAAAACGAGATTATTATTATTTTTTTTACTTTCTAAAGAAAATAAGCCTTACATTATTATATGACACTTATTTTCTTCTGTGTAGATGCAACAACAACAAAAAATATAGGTTTCTGCTCTTTAATTGATATTTTAACCATTTTTTTCAGCAATTTCAATAAATTTGCAGTTTAAATCCTAATTCTTCATATTACTAAATATATCTGATTTATACATGACGTGACCATTTGGTTGCCTATAATAAATTAGTTATAACGATTATATTATTATTTGTGCAATCCATTATAATTATAGGAATACATATTTCGATTACATAATTTTGTCTATTAAATAATTGTGTATAAGTCTTAATAATAAATAAGAATTAATTACATTTAAAATTCAATAATTTCCTAATGAAAACAATTTACAACTATTTACAAACCGTTCGTATTATCAGAATACAATTTTAACTTTTATAGAAGAAGCAATTAATTAATTTTATGTTCGTTACAAGTACTTTTCTACAATTATTTTTAATTAATTTATTGATTAATTTCAAGCGATTCATTAAAATAATAATGCTGTGATTATATATTCGACTTTCTAATTAGTTTTTTTCAATTAAGCAATTATCTATCAATTTAAATTTTAATAATTTGATTACATTTTATTTATATAATTTGTGTATAGAAAAAACAATTAAAAATCAATTAAAGAGCATTAAGTGTTGATAAATTCCTTCCTAGAAAGAAGAACATAGTTTCCTTCGGAAAAAACGTAAATATTCCATGGGAATAAACATTTTGCATGTAGAAAATGCAATTAAATTTATTATCTTTAGGTATAAGAAGGAATAAATCAAATGGATTTTAGTGCAGATAAAAAAATAATTTGCCAGGGTTTTCGTTCTTATTTCTTTCTTTTTTCGATCAGAAAATACAATAAATATATATATAGGGTCGTGACATTCCGGTGGAATTGTGTAGAATTCCAATAGACATATAACAAATATGCTCAGACGATTAAGCGCCTCGATTTCATCACACTACAAAGCATTCACTAGATCTACTTACAAAAAGCTCTACCGGACTATGCCGAAGCGGGATTCGATAAATAGTATATGTACATTCGATTTAGTTTACGTGGACAATAGGGTGGTGCTACAGAACAGAAAAAGAAATCATAATCGATACAAAAAAATTACTTGTGATGTGTTCATGTGTGTATGTTTGAAAACAATAACAATAAAAAAATAAATAAAATTAAATGAAAATTTATAATTAACAGAAAAATTCGTAATAATTATATTATAAAGAACGATAAACGACATCAAAACAAGAAAGCTGAAGTGCAGACTCGATTATATCATTAATATTGGTGTATAGTTTCAATAATTTTGGTGCATATCTTTAATACTCGTGTATCATTATTTATTTTTTAAATCCTCTCTCTCTCTCTCTTTTCGTTCTTTTCTTTTTTTCTTTTTCGTGTTCTCTCACTCTGAGTTTTCGATAAATGATTACATTCGGTAAACGGAAACGGAAGTATTGATTTAAGCGATTTTCTCGTGAGTGAGCGCTGATCTGTTCGGTGTAGATCAGCAAACGATCTCGTCGCATTTGCATTTGACGATTCGATGTTCCTGATGATCGAGCGAGGAGGACGCGCTGTGCTATCCTTTCTCGGTTTTGGAGGATAGGTAGCATTCGACGCACGTCGGATTTTCGATGCTCAAAGATCTCGACGGTTTTTTCAATGAGGACCGAATCGGCTCAGCAGCTTTGCGCGCCGTTTTCGGACTTCCGCTGTCCGCGCGCTTTATTTTACTAGGACTCGATTTACGTGATTGGCTAGGGGACGATTTTCTCGAATGATTCGGACTCGATTTGCGCGAATGGCACGGCGTCGCCGACTCCTTCCGCGACGCCGATTGGTCGACGGAGATAACGGAGGAGGGGCCTGCGCTGGGGACGGAGCACAGCGAGACGGCCCGTTTGTTCGGGGAACGATTCGGTGACTTTTTACGGGACTCGTGCACCTCCGCTTTCACTGTCTTTACGTGCTGCTTACCTAACTCTTCGACTTGAATCGGGTGATAGTTTTCCGGCTGATGCGAGGACTGAATGAGACGCGCCTGGCTTCCTGTGCTGCCAGCTGATAACGTGGATGTTGTACTACAACACATATCACAAAAAGAAAGCATAAATCACTACTGCATTTACATTCATGCAGTTATATAAAAAGAATTCCTTATAAATACTAAATTATCATTATTAAAGGAATAAAGTATACTTTCTCTTTAATAAGAAACTAACAGACATTTCATATTAATGAAATAATCTATGTAGAAATGCAACCATTTTCACATTTCTAATTTATTTATCAAATAATTAATATAAATACATTTACTTAATCGATATTTAATAAAACTAATATGTGATGAGTATTTAAGTCGTTATATAATGTGCTTGAATAGTAATTTTATAAATAGAAAATACATTCAAAATTACCAAAATATGTTATACCATTTAAATTCATTATGACTAAAATAAATGGTCTATATTAGTTTATAGAATACAATATAATACTGAAAATGTAATGACACGTGCATTCCATTGGTTCGAATGAAAATTTCATGTTTGTTGTGTTTTCATGTATCTAAATCCTGGAAGAAGATTCTTAAAAGAAAAAATAAATAACAATATTAAATCTTCTACAACTACTATTCGAAAATGAAGTACTAATTGATGATGATTACCTTAAAGTTAAATGGTTGGGTGTTCTTCCAAGGCCTGATTTCTTAACGGGTACGACGATGCCAGTCTGAGAATCTTCTTCTCCTTCGGATTTGACGCCTTTAGCTTCAGCGGCTGTAACATGGAAGTCGTTGGGAAATCTTCAAATTTCTTATATATGTATTATTAATATACCTGCAGCGTCCCCAACGGTCTTACTACGTGACCGGAACGCCGAGGGTTGGGGTTCTTCCACGTCCTGACTAGCATCGTAGTCGATGTTACCTGCTGAATGCCGTTGCGAGGACTTCGAGCGTTTCGTTTTTCCAAGGGTGTGTGATCCTTGGACTATGATGGATTTGGGCGCTGGGCGTTCCAGAGTTTGGCTGTTCATGGAATCCTTGTGGCCGGTGACCAGAAGGATGCCGGGTCCAGTACCAGGCTTCGTTGCCGGAATGGACATGTTGCGGACCGATTCCCTGATGATCTGTCTAATTGTCTTCAGGAAAGCGTTCCTGAAATCGCCAGTACTGCAAACCAAACAGATAAAGGAAACAGAAACAAACAAATTGCAAATTTCCGTTCCACAAACTTCCAATAAACTATTAACCCCCTTGTACTTTACCTGTTTGATAGAACGTAGACCTTTTCGGATCTCCTTTGCAACTGACTGCGTAAGTGAATCAACTCCCAAAGGAAATGCGAATCCATGTCTTTGGCGGAGGACGCCCGCACCTGAACTTCCGTCACCGGAATTAGCACTTGATATCTAATTATTTCGACTTCTGAGGCACTTCCTTTACTGGCAACGCCCTTTACGAAACAAAAATCAAAGATTAAAAGGCTACATTTTCCCTTGATTAGTATTCTCTTTTACCATTAACTTCTTCTTCTGACGTAATCTTTCCTTGCATAGGAACACTACAGCCGACTTGAACACGAAACACATAGCGTGCAACTCCAATCCTTTCTTAATCTTTCCCAGGAAATCGGAGATGTTGAGCCACTCGACACCTCCGTAGTACAGGAGATCCCCGGGACTGAGATCGATTGGTTGCTTGCACGATTTCTGGTGCTGCCTGAAGAGATGATCGAAAATGGCTCCGTACTCTTCGTGTATCCTTTGCATTTCATTTATATGCTCCGCCACTTTTTCCATGCCCTTAAGGGCCTCTGCAAACACAATTAACATCAATTTTCACAAATCCAGGTCAAGGTTTCATTCTACATCAAACGTAAGTGTAAATGCACAACGATCACGACCACTTACCAACTAAATGCTGATGCTCATCACAATTGGGATCAGTCAAGTTGCGCAACTGTTGCAACAACAGCGGGTACTTGAGGATTCTCTGAATTGGCTTTATCAAATACGATTCTAATGTCGAGGAGTGCTGCTGCTTAGGGTTCCTTGTGGATAGAAAATCTTGCAGTGCTTGGTTTCCTTCATCTGCGGGAAAATCCATATCATAAGTAAACACAAATTACAAACGCCAAAACGAAAACAGGAGTTTTTTTTATATACAACTGCGAATATATCACTATTATTTAGAGGAATGAAGAAGATTAGTTGAATATATGATATAACTAATTATTGCACTTACTTGGATGAAGGACTTTTTGAGCTTTACTATGGCTTGCACAGAAGGAACTGTACAATTTGAAATGATTCACATAGTATAAAAAGGCGCTTCCAACTGAGAAAAGCACGTTCTGAAAGAATAATTTACATTTTATTAGTATTCATTTCTATAAGAACATTATTTGATAATTGGAATAATTTTAAGAAAACTGTATTAATATGAAGATTATTGGAGCAGTTACCTTAAATTGGCTTGGGAAGTCGAACTTGTTGAAGTCTGGTTCCAGTTCCAGGGCTTCCTCTAAGTTCTGCAAGAATTGCCTTTGGAACGTGACGATCTCCTGGATGTTACCGAACAGTGCGTTAATTTCGGCGTTCGATAAGAACGTTTCTTTCTTGAGCGGCTCTAAGTAATTTTCTAGAAGGTTGTTTAAATGCTGAAATTGTACAGAGGATGCATTAGTATCGAATGAGATATTTGTTTTGTATTCTTACTTTAACGTAGGCCCTTTCGGTATCCACTAGTTCCATAACGACTTTCCTGAGCTTCTCGGCATCGCTGAGCTGTCTACCGAGGCCGGTCTGCGTCTGCGAGGTGTTGCTGACCAGACTTCCAGTCGGACTGGACTTCCGGGTCTCGACAGGCGAACGGCAGAATCCGGTCACCTGTTCGGCCGTTTTGAGCAAATTCTCGATCTCGAAGGAGTTGGTACGAGAGGTGACCTTGATGCAGGAATCGCCAGCATTCGCCACGACCGTCTCCGCCTCGAAACGGTCCTTGCCTGGTTCAATGAAAACCAATTCGATTGGTTTCTGATCGAAACAAATCGAGACCGAGATGTTACCTGGAGCCGGGACGATTAAACCAGAGATCATCTCCTCGCTGATTCCAGGAGGCTCCGTTGGAGGTGGAGGACACACTAAGCTCTCGATTATGTCGTCTGTAGCTCTGAGGATTGAGGACACCTCCGGTGGTTCAGTCCTGGACGATCTCATCATCATGCAGAGGGCGAGCTCCTCCTGCAGTACGCTCTCCAAATACATCATGTCCAGATCGGAAACGATCGCCCCGTTGATCACCATAATCTCGTCGCCCTTTATTATACCTACAGGACACAAACACCAAAATTAACCTGAATTACGCCCGCCGGGAATCGCCCTGCCACATCTTTATGACACCTGAGGCGTCCTGTGGCATATATACGACCCGACCTGCAGAAGCTATTCCCACCCTGAACACACCCTCTTCTCTCTACCTTGTGGATCACACTAAATCAACCCGGATTCAACTACTTAAATCTCATTAAAGCAAATCTCTAGTGTACCCAACCTCCTCAGCGTTACTCCTAAACCGTAAATTTCTACCATAAATCTCCAACAAAATTAACATTAAAAGCGGATATATCTAGAAGAAATAGTTATCTGTATATAAAATTCAATAAAATAATTAATTTTTTTCGATTACCATGTTATTACGATTATTACAATGGTATTAATATATAAATATTATATAATCACAGATAATTGGCGTTTTGCAGTCTAAAATTAAGATTTTTCTTTTAAATTAACTAGGCCCAGTTCAAGAATTGAGGCCCCTTTGATTTTAGAGTTAAAATATTACTTAATGTTGTTATCCACACTAGGCTTCTATTGTATAATGATCTGTCATATGCATAACGTAGTTGGTACACCTGATAAACACTTTTGTCTGATGACAAGAATAGTTATGATGTATCATTAATTCTAACAAGTATTAAACAGTTTAAAAACTCATATTACAAGGTTAAAATTTGACAAGGTACTAAAGTCCATCATTCTGATTGGTTAAATTTAAACATAAATAAATATGCCACCCTCTGCACTGTCTCGTTATAAACGAAGCTCTTGACTCGACGGTCGAGTGTACATATAAATTCTCGTTCTTCCTCGTTTATTTTCTTTTTTTCGATGTGCACCACTGTACATTTCCAGATATAAATCAAATAAATCCTTAATGAAATTTTGTCGGCGCCGTAAATTGTACACAGACTTGATTCCATTAATATTCCTCGGAAGCGTTGGTTCACCGCTCGAGGGCTTTCAAACATTGATCAAATCCGGAGTTGCCGTTTTATTTTACCATTTATTTTTCAGACATTCTTCAGTCTTCGTATTTTCCTTCTCATTCCTTCCTTCCTTCAACGGATGAAGCCAAAAATAAACTTCCCAAAGGCGAAACACAGAAAATGGAACATCCTTGCAAAAACATCAGCTTATAGCAAATTCGTTTCCATACAATTAAAATTGATGTAAAAAACAAGTGCATAATTTATATTATAAATAGCAAATTTGTAATTAATGGATTATCCTGTAGCGTCTATTTCATTTTTTTGACGGTTTAAAGCTTAATAAAGTTAAACAACGAGTATTAATTATAATTCTTGGATGGATGGACGATATTTCACAATTGTATCGGATAATATTCTTGAAGGATCGATGTCTTCATGTAACAAAGTCTGAAGTCCATAAACTTTTTAAGAGAAACTTCCAAGTAAATATCTATAATTGGTAGACAAACGTTTATATCAAGTGTTAAATGTACGATATTCGATGAAACCGGTAATAGTAAATCTAAAGTTGTATTTACATTTTAAATATATTTTTAATGTAATTTCAACAACTTGAGTTAATTTATAAATGTTCTAATAGATATTAATTATTTTTTTGTACAAATGTTGTTATTGATAAAAAAAATTATACCAACTTAAAAAGTTGAGCCATCAGGTAACATAATAATAAAAATATTGAAATTAATTTTGAATTAAACATAGAATTGAATTCTTGTCTATAACTTCTTTGCAAACTTTATTGTACACTAAAGATATAGATATGAATAGTTAACATTTTAGATATACTAAAGAATATAAAAATATTAGTATATTTATCTTGTAGAGCAGAAAAGTTACAAGGGAGTGGTAATGTGTTGCATTAAAGTTTTATTTAACTTGTTTTTAAGGATCGTGGTATACCTATAAAGTGTGTCGGATTCGGTTGTAAATTTATGCTATCCCCATGGGTTTAGTGCTGTGAGCAAATGCATGCATTCATACGGCATACATGAAGCACGGATTCGGGAATAAAAGAAGAAGCAAAGGAACTTACCGTTTTGCATGGCCACACTCTTATCTTCGACACGGCTCACGTAGCAGCAAAGTTCGTCCTGTCTATCGGCGTTCTCTACTAATTCAGCTTCGACGCTGAAGCCCCACATTTGTTCTAACGTACTTCTAGATAATTCTACTTGATAAAGGATTTTGGCACAAACTTCTACGATTTCATGTGTATGTAACTGAAATCAGAAAAAAAAAAGAAATAATTAGGACTTCAAATGGACAAGATTAATCAATCTTACATATGTTGCTATCAAATCACTACGGTGTGGCACAAAGTAATTATGGTCTTCCATGTCTCTCCTCTTTTTGACACGAATGAAATGCTCTGTGGCATTCAGACTCTTCCTGGCACAGCCACTTGCCAAGAACTCTTCTACGGACATGGCATCCCTTACGTAAACAGTAGCAGTTGCAGAATCCGGAAGAGATACTTTCACTGTATTTTCGGACTCCTCACGAGAATTCATCTGTTTGCAAAGAACAAATATACAGACAATTTTATTCTAATTTTGTACTTCTAATACAGATATTTCTTAATCACGGACTCTACAATTTCAGAAGTTACTTGGCAAGTACAAAGTAGATATACATTCATAAAATTAAGTCTGAATACTAAATCTCTTTTTGTCCGTTTTTTTTTATGTATTTAATTCCTCGATTAGTCCGTCTTCAAACAGTCCGGAATATTGGCAAAACCGATTACTCGCGCTATACTAAGTATTTCTGTACTTCAAAAAATTCCAGATTTTTATTAGTCAGTTACTCTACTATTTAAAAAGTTAATTGGCAAGTGTAAAGTAAGTAGACATTCCGAAAATTAAGTCTAAAAACTCTGTAAATCAAAATTAAATTGAGTTATTTCCATTCATAACCTTGACACAAATCTGTTTTTTTTTCTCTCTCTACGTAATAAGTCAATGCGATTTCGCAAAAAGGGTTTTCGTGTAATTGCATCAACATAAATCTCCGAAAAGTCATCTGTAATATTTCATGCGCGCTTTCTGATATTCATACGAGAATATATTAATATACACACAGAAATAGAAATACTAAGAGCAGTATTAATGAGCATTCGAAGATACAGCACTTCCCTTTACACCTAATCCTATCTTTATTTATGCAATAATATCAAAGTAACTGTCAATTTCGGAATCACTTGTTTCTCATTAGTGATTTATAATTTCATATATTATACATTTTGATAGGAACAGCAATCCATTAATTTTGAATAAATATTAATTAACATTTGAATGCATTAAAATTGAAAGAAAATAGGGGCCAGCCAAATGAGTAGTGGCAAATAAATGTAATTAATTTAAAATATTGATTAACACGAAATTCGCACAGCGAAATTCAAATAATTCGAATACACTCATTAATATGTACTTATTGATTTCACTAATTAAATCCATTCTCGCAAATTAGTTTTTGATTGTATTTAATTAGTAATTTTCATTTTACAAACGAAATTATCCAACAGAACATGACTTACATATTAACTCTTTGTGGATATGCGGCGGATATATTCGCCATATCTTTTATACAGGAGACCTCGCTTAGTTCTATGCGTCTTTTTTAGAGCTTCGACGTTAGCTCTGCAGAAACGCGAAATACGCCACAACATAATAAAACACAGCAGTTTCGCAACAAAAAACAGTTGATACTACCTTCAAAATTCTCTTTTTTAAGAATTTATCCATTTAAATACCAATTATTTTATTTAGACGTATACTGAACAACAAAATATATAGTTATTATTATGAAATTGTATATTTTTGTTATATTTTGTTAATTGATATATTTAGAGAATCTTGAAAATATCAGCAAAAAGATAACTTTCTTTTCTTCAATATTAATTGGTAGGTTACACTTAAAATGAATTGGCAAAAAATGATCTAGTTTAATTACTTAATACTTCAAATAGACTAAATTCGAATGATGTATTCAATTTGTGTAAAATTAATTGAAACTCAAACTGAAAATTGTATATATTTAATATATTATATAATTCTACTAGAAACTTATTGATGGTTGTGATGGGTTAAGTGTACAAAAATATAGAAAGTGCAACAGTAGGGAAAGTTCGTTACCTGCATCGATCTTCTGCTGGATCCGCTGTTTGATCTGGATAACATCGGAGGTCTCCTCTTGGTGGCTCCTCTTCCTGCCAGAAGATTGTTCAGAAGTGAAGGACTTCTTGCACAGATGAATGCATGGAAGGACGACACCGTGAACACTCCGAGTTTATTCAGCGTGTTCTTCGTTGCTCTCGACACGTGCGTCAGCAAAGACTGAAAAATCGAAACGTTTGTTTTCAGCTCAAAACAAGTAGAATAAAGAAAAAAGAAGTAAAAGAGTTCCTTCAGCCTGCGCTATTGAATTTCCTAATTATGTTCAGAAGATTCCAGTTACCAGGAAAAGGAATGAAAAAAGGAAGCCAATCACAAAGGACGAGAAAAATGAAGTAAAGCAGCAAACAATTATTTTAGCTTTTTATCTACGAAACAGACATAAAATGCGGATGCTGAAAAATGTTAAATTTCCGCGAAGCTGTACAAGAGATTGAGAGGACGGTGTTTTCTTTCGTTTTTTTTTTCAGTTCACGTATCTCCTTTTCTTGTATTTTGTTCTTTGTTCGAGGAGCAGAAGCTTCGTGCACGCTCCAAATATTCGATTCACACAGATCACAGCTTCCGTCCCACATAAAAAGCAAATATCTACGTGGAAATACTCTCTCATTTGTAGGGAAAATAATTTTCCGGAAGATAATGTCGTACGATATAAATTTCCCTACTCCCCCATTTTTTTTTATCGATGCATTAAATAAAGAGATGCAGTGATTAGCCTATATTTTGATGCTGGGGGAGTTGAAAAAAAAAAGATTGTGTGTGTGTGTGGTGATTTTTTTGTTGGTATTCACGTCTGGTGCGCGCTTTGCAGCCCCAATTTATCGGGTGAACCATGGAATATCAACGTGTTTTCCAATAAATTACCAACCGGGGCAAACCGCAATTTATCTATCAAAATCGCACCGGGCCAGACAAAATGGCAGTTTAAATATTTATTTATTTTTTATTTACGATCCCGCACGGAAAACGGGGAAATTGGGAAATAGCTCTATTGAATGAATGACAAAAAAATTGAAAGAGAGAGAAGAGTAAAACTAACGACGTCCTCGATATTTATAGGTTTATCCGTTATGCAAATGGTTCTAAAAGAATTAGTGTCAGAAGGACTAATATTTAAATCGTAATTTCGATGTAAATACTTCCCGTTTTATGTCAATTACAGTGATTAAATCAACAACTTTGATATATCTGATTCTTCCTTTCATTATAAAAAGTATTTTTATGCAAATAAAATGAATAATTATTATGTTTACATTTTCATTAATTACGTTGATTATTTCGTGAAATTGTGTAAAATATTATAGTTTTTTACTTTTGAAAATCTTATTTAGTATAATTATGAACAATTATAGTACTCTTGAGTTGGTAAAAAATCACCTATCCGAGTTAAATATTGCTTAACTTTTTTAATTGAATGATTAATGAAAATATTAAGAGTCTAGTCTATATTAACATGTACATATTTATTTATATTTATACTAACTTTGATTCATCAAATAATTAATAGAAATTTACTAGTTGCAAAAACTTAACTACGAATATTGTTAAATTTGAAAAGTTTGTAAAACGAACAGGTTACTTAAAACTCGTAAGTTTTAAACTACGAAAATCGTTGTAACTGTTCAATTTATAGTTTGTAATTTGTATGATTTCCAAAAGAAAATTTACAAAGAAAAGAAAGTATCAAATCAATAATTCTTTGCCTAATAAGAGTTCTGATCATTTAAATTGCAATAATTTATTTTATAAATTTGTATAATTTCCATAAAAAATACAAAATGAAGAAAAAAAGTGTACTTTATTAGAATGATCAGAATAATTCTCTCTTTAACAAGAATACTGAAAATTTATCAACTTTAGGTTGCAATAATTTACAAAAATCGAGAATTAACTATTAGGAATAAAAGTATTTATTAGAAATAATTTGTAAAAGAATGTGATTTTTTTTTATATAATAAGCTTTGTTATTTTTTTTTTAATATTTGGACAGTGTAATAATGTTATGATTATTTTAGTTTAGCTTCACGCTTTTGTGAGTGCTGTTAGTTTTATTGTGTTATTTTCACTTTCCTTACTTGTGTACACGTTTTTCGATCCATTATGTGTCGATTTATCGCCTTCAGCTTCGACTTAACAAGTTTTGGCCTATGATCGATCACCTACTTAATATTAATATGAAAAACAAAAAGAAAACATTAAAAACGTCTGCATCTGATAAAATTTTACCAATCTCATCAATCTCAATTTATTGAACGTTTATATCTATTTTTCACCAGATGCAAATTAAAAAGAAAATATTTTAATAAACTCAAAAAAACGCCCTGAAAACGTAAAAATAACTGAAAAGAAAACACAACAAAAATTAAAAATGTAATTAAAGTAATCATGGGTTGAAAAAGTGTCCAAATTAGTAATTTTAAAATTATAGAGAAATTAGTTTAGTAATTATAAATGTCAAAATTAGTATTTTAAAAATATTGAATATGTGTGTAGTCTTCAAACTATCACATTGATTAAAATGAACATGTGAATATACTGAAAAATTAATATGAAACTGAAAGAGTTATTCAGAATTGAAATGATCAAAAGAAAAGGAAATCAATTTAGAAAGCTTTAGACATTTAGCAGACATAAAAAAAATGGTTGCAATAGAGGCAAAAACACAAGTTCGTTATTTTCCGCCCCATTGTCTTTCGCTGCAGTCAAGTTAGTAATGAATCAAAGTTTCCCTTTTAATCTTGCCATCGGCAGGATGAGAGAACGAGTTGAAATATGGGCTCGGATCAGGCGAACAGATCGTTAGTTGTACTGGTATATCTATCTTCTCTCCTCTCCTATACTCTCACACTCCTCTCACGCCAACTACGAGAGCGTATGCGAACTGCAAAATTTTCCGCCTCTCTTCATCTGCTCTATTTTTCTTGTTTTTTTTTTTACTTCCTATACGATTTTGTATTATTTTCTGGGTCCGTGCCCGACGGAAGTTGGCGGAAAATAAGTAATAACCGACCGATACGGAAAAAGTTGCGAGTGTCTTCGAAACTCGATAATACAGAGGCCGTCGGGCGGGAATTTTATATTAATAATTTATTGGCGGCTCTCCCAGATTTTCCAACGAAACTTCTAAACGAGGCACTACGAAATATATAGTTACGTCTATGCGGAAATGTAAAATCAATTCGGGTAAAACCGTTATTGTTCCAAATATTCAACCGTGACATGGTAATATCTGGGATTACCGCAATCGTAAATGTTTCTGCTTTCCTTTTCCTGACTAACTTTACGCTACAATACCAATCGCATTGTCCAGTTCCAGAGTTTATGCTACATATAACTACAATACAAGCTCATCCTAGATTTAGATGATGTTTAGTTCAACAGAACATCATACAATTATAATAAAAAAAATAACGTATTACAATATAATATTTACTATATTCGTACTATGTATGACATGTGACATAACATCATATCAAGTGAACTAACAAATTAAGTATTTTGTAACTTAAACCCAACTTTTAGGAAAATTTTAATATTAACAAATTGTGGACAACACACATTTTTGTCTCATTTCATTCATAGTGTGATTACAGCATTACATTGTTAAATTAGCCTTCACATTTAATTTTAAAATATTAGGTATACATTTTTATATTTCGTTTTATAAATTGATATATTCGGCTAATTACACATTTAACATTTCTAATTCAAAGTTTTTAAACCAGACTACGAAATATTCATTAATATTCATGTATTTGTTAAAAGTGTTACTAAACAATAGAGTAAATTCATCTCAACTATTGAAACTTATTTATACAAACAATAAATTATTAATTTTTGTAAATTAACCAGAGGTTAAGTACAATTTACATATACTATGAATTCTTTAACTCGACTACATTTTTTATAATTATTTGCAGTTTTTAACATATTAATATTTAACTATAATAATTTCACTATAGAATTTTCATAATTTGGATCGTATAAAAATATATATTATTAATGAACATTAATCAGCATTCTTTCCTAAGAGTTATATTTTCTAGTTTAGATACCAGAATATTCAATGATTTCGTTCTTCAATTGAAATTTTCTTTTATAATGTTTCTTCAGAAAATGATACACAACGTACAAGTTTTTGAAAATTATCCATTTTATTACCTTAATGACGTTGAAATGTTAATCCTTGAAATATATATTTTTGGTTTCTTTAGATAAACTTACTTCTTTTTTCCCTAAATATTATTTTTTACATTTTATATAATGACAATCATGTCATAATATCTATTAAGTTAAAAACAAAAATATATTTGCTTTCTGGCGTAGAGTAAATATTTCAAATGATTTGTGGAATCTTCTCGCAGCGACGTCCTTTAATCATTTCCTGTAACTTGGAATATCAGAATCACATGAAAGGAGTAGACCAATATCACAAAGTACACACTGATCTACTCCTTTCATATGATTCTAAAATATTCTTAAGGAAACGATTAAGTCCAGAAAGTTGTTAGAACCATCTTCTTCTAGATAAATATCCTTCTTCTGTGACGACTTTTACATTACTATATCTATGCACATTAAATTAACTAAATTATAAACTTAAGTATATTTACGATGTTAGTAATGTCATCAATACCCAGGAAAGGTATTGAATCCAATTTTTACCAACTGACAATCCTTTAACTTTAAATTAGCTATACGGTGCAGTAAGATTAGCTATATAATACCTTTGGTAACTTATGTAGAATAGAGTACCAAAATTGACGAATACCAAATAAATATAAGGAATAACGTTTGTTTTTCGTGATAAACAAAATAAAATTAAGTAATATGATGTATCCATCATAATGAGAATGAGATGTTGAAATTTCGCTTTCAGCAAAACATTATCGAAAGGTAATAAAACTTCGGACATGATAAAATTTTGCAAATTCCGGTTTAACTTTTCGTTCGCAAATAATTTTGGGCCGAGTAATGTTGGCCAAAGGCGCGTTTACAAGATGTTGAGATTGCAAATTGTTGGAGGTTTTCCCACATGGAATGCTTGCGTAGTAACGAAGGTACCCAAATAACTTCGTGCTTACCTTCGGGTTAGGAAGTTCTCCGCTCTGTAAGCTGGCCATGTAACACCTAAGACGGAATTGTTCGCAATGCAGACGCTCCAAGTTCTCCTCCCACTGGACGACCTGTCCACCCAACTGTTGTCTCGTATCTGAATCGGCGACGACAGACTGTTGCATCTCAGCCATATGCTTGAGTTTATAATCCTGAAAACAGTAACAATAATAAATCATTAGAAATGTAATAATTATCTTCAAAAGTGAAATTTTAGAAAAAGAAGTTAACTTTAGTTATTTGTAGTATATATTGTAATATAAAATAGTAATAGTTCAGCATATTGAGGCTTCGAACAGCGTGGATTGAAAATTTCAAATAAACTGAATTTTCATTGAACAAAGTAGTAAATTCAATTTTCAAAATGTATGTTTTATCTATCTGCAGAATGAACAAATGGGTTCACATGAACCCATTACTGAACGAGGGTAGTACACAATGATTATACGGGAATCCGGTGACCTGATCAGGACTCTTCCGGACGGCACCATGGGTCAGTGGCGAATTAACTTGATTATAAATAAGTAGGTTAATCGGGGGGAATACCGACCACAAGTTGAACGTCCGTCCATCTCTAATGGCGCAATGCGGATCTTCCCTAATGTGTTTATGTCAGGCTTCTGTCATATTTCTTTTTGTATATAACAAACTTATTAACGACCTCCTGATTACTGTTTAAATTTATTATAGTAATATCTTTGCTGTCACAGATAAACACAGTTATCAAGAGAAAACATGCATTAATTTAGTTACATAAATGATGTATCAATTGTAATTAATCATTTTAAAATATTATAACATCTAATTAGAACCAAATCTACTTTACTTCAAGTAAAAAAACAATAGGTACAACAGCGTTTCTTAACCTATGACACAAAATTGTTCGTAGTAATTGGGGCGTAGTAAAACTAGAAACTATGATGATTTACAATAATTTTGAGATTTAATTAATTTAATGAAACTATTTAATTTGTATACACATTTTGTTAATTATCAAAAATTTTGAATTAATTAATAATTTTTTTTAAGAATTGTTAAGAATTTATATATATTATTCGCTATAATGATTTAGGTCTAAATTTTAGCAAATAAAAATGTGTAAATAAATAAATAATATATCTTTGTTTCACAATTTATATTTTTGTGACAAATTGTTGTCACGTATTATTAACAAGGTCTCTCTTATGTAACAAACTTTCGTTTCTTTAAAATGCGACTATTTTCCTTGAAAACTACATAGAATATAACGTGCTAGACGTATTAACTACCTGTGAATGACTAGTGCTCATAACTCAGATCCATATAAAATTTATTATATAAGAAGTGCGATTTCTTGTAAGAAATTATATTTTTTAATTCACATCTAATTATATTAAAAGTCAACATCGCGTCACTAACCGGGAACTAATCAGCAACGTTAACAACAATAACAGAAACGTACATCAATGTTTCTTGAATCGTGTGAAAATTTAGTTTTAAAAAAGACAACGTCAAATCTTGCTAAATCTCTTCAGTATAATAAAAATAATAGCGTCACTATCACATTACAATCCGGCAACGTCAATAAGAACATCAACGTAACGTCAATATTTCTAAAAGCATGCGAAAATTCTGTTTTTAAACCGAACAACGTCAACATCACATTTTGTCACATTAATATTTCTTAAACTGAGCAAAAATACAGTTTAAAAAAACAAGTATAATATAAATTAAAATCCAAATTTACATTCAATGATTCAATGCAAAAATATGTTTTGAGAAATAACATTTTTCATATATTTATTTTTGAAATATTTAAATTATTGATAAATTGTATTTGAAAATTTTTTATTTAAAAAAAAAAGCATTTATTTTTAACAAAATGATGTATAGTTAAGTTTAGTTATGCGAACATCAACGTAATAGATTATTTTGACGTAATATTGTGACGTGAACGTAAGTTAAAAATAATATTCACATTTCAACAAATTTCTTATTAAAAATTTGATTTTCTTTTAATTTCAAGATGCAATTTCTTTAATATTTCTTGGCTTCGTTCGCAAAATCAATTTCACCTGAAAGTATGGTCCATTAACAGCAGCAATTAATATTTTTTTACCGTTTTTTAACGGTGCATTTTACAACCGCATTCATTCCTCTTAATGTGCTTTTTCAACCCCCGTCCCCCACACAAAGTCTAACTTCGTTCCAGAAGCAGCAGATCTTTCTACAGAAAAGCCTCGATGTTTTATAAGGGACGAATCGATAAATCTACAGGCGACAATAAATTAATTCCCGTTGCGAAAGTAATTGGTTGCGACGTGGTCGTGCTTTATTTTTATCCTCGCTGTTTATTTTTGTTCCACGTTTATATTTTTTTTTTCATCCCTTCCGACGACGTCGATCGGAACGAGGAGAACGACCCTCTAAAACCCCGCTCGTCCACCCCTTCAGGCTGTAACAAATTTCGTTAATTCCTCTTTAATTTATTTTCCTTTCCGTTTGTATTTTCTCCGTTTTCAATCGATTGTATTTTCGGGGTAGTTAATTGGTTTGAATGACGAGGAGGATGAGAACTTCGGTACTTTGAAATCGATTCCAGTTTTAAATATCATCGGCTTCAAAGTGCTTTCGCTATGAAACTCGATATAAACATATTTGTTGAGCTTCAGCCGTCGTCTCCGCCACCCCTGACAACAACCTAATCCACCGATGCCGCCGCCTACGCAAAACCCGCCACGCATAAAAGACGACATACACCGAGAGGCCTTTTGTTAACAGCGATCGTATTGAATTGAATCACTGTCAGTCTGGTATTATCGAAGCATCCTATGCAAAATGTTGCTCGCTGCACAGGCTTGATAGAATCCTGAAAATTGGATTAGACTATTTCTGTTTGATACTACTTTTTTTTGTCTTCTTTTCTTCTTCAACGTTCTGCCAACCCTACAAATTGTATCGTTCTTTCTTTTTCAATGTCGTAAACGATTTATACCTCCTCTTCTCATGCAAACACTATTTTTCAATTCGATACTACAAATCACTATGGAACATAGTGAAACTCCATTACATATGTCGAGAACAAATTGCATCAATTTCATTCAATATTTCGTTCATCCCACTGCATAGACATGTAAAAATAATACAAATTCGTGAAAAAAATCTATGGTCAATTTTAATTTTTATTTATTCGAATATTTTCTAAAAACAATAATGCCACAAAATTATCGATTATATTCATTAATATTATTTAATTTATGTTTTTTGTAATTATTTTCTAAATAATTTAAAAATATATAAAATTTTGTATCAAATAATTAAATTGTAACTTTCCATCTTTATACATGACGCAAATAATTTATACTTTCTCTTTTCATACAAATTTCGTATAAAATAAATCATAAAATTATTAATCAAATTATGTTTTGTAAATAATTTGATAATTTTGTATTATTTGTTGAATTGCATTGTTCCTTATTTTTCCCTTTCATAAACATCTTCTCATGTAAACATTAATTTGAATCCAAAGGATCAAAACTTTTAATGTAATGAAAATTTCAAAATTAAATAAAAGTGTTTAATATTGACATCAATAAATCAAGAAATTATCTAAGTTAATTTTACAAAATTTAAATTCACTTTTACGAAACATTGAGAAATTTAAATATGTCGAAAACAAATTGCATCAATTTCATGCAATCTCTTTACTTCAGTAAAAAAATAATAGAGTTTTCATGTAAAAATAAACTCATTTCAATAACGTGAATGTCGCAAACGATTTATACCTTCCTTTTCTCTTGTAAATATTATTTTTCAATCCAATACTACAAATCACTATGAAACATATTGGAAACTGTACTACACATGTCGAGAAATAAATTGCACAAATTTCATTCAATATTTTGTGCAATCTCTTTACTTACAAAAATAATACAGATTTATTATATCTATAAAATCAATATTTATTATTTAATTGATTTATTTCTATAAATATAAAAATAATACAGATTTATTATATCTATAAAATCAATATTTATTATTTAATTGCTTTATTTCTATAAATATAAAAAAGTAATACAGCTACAACTCGCATAATGCAGTATAATCCCGTACTGAAACCGGATTAATCGAGGACTTTAAATCCGAAGAAAAAGGTATTGGACTGTATATAGGGGAGAAAATGATTATTTATGTATAAAAAAATATTTTGAGAAATTAAAATTTAGTTTGTATTGAAATTCCAGTGACTGATCGAAGCAGCAACTCGCAATTGCTGTAATTTTTATTTCCTTAACCGTTAAATATGTTATAATTTCTTCTAAATTAAAACTTATGTAAATAATATTTTACATTGTTTTCTTGTAAAGATTTGTAAAATAAGTTGCATCAACAAACCAAGAAAATATAAAATAAAATATCTATTTTTCATTTACAATAGAATTGCTTATATTAATAAAACTTGAAATATTTTAATTTTATCCAAAAGAAAACCATTTTTTTTTCTTTATTTTTTTACACGTTTTTAATATTTGATTAATTGCATTTTTCTCACAATTTATTAATAAATTAATTGAAATTATTTATTAAATATTTCCTAAATTTCATTTATAAGTGTTTATTTACAATTATTATAGTTTCAAAAATTATGTCAATTTATTGAGTAAACAATGAAACTACGAAATTAATTGTCATTTTATATAATTAATTTAACAAATTAATTTAATTAAATATGTGCTTTATTTATGTAACAATTAATTAAACTATTACATTTTTTTTAATTTAATTATTTTTATAAATATAAATTGCTTGTTGATGCATCAAGAAACGAAGAACAAAATCTTTAGAAATATACTTATTTCTTGTTATAAACTTTTAAACATTGATGTATACATTAATAACAACCATAAAATTATTCATGCGAAAATACACGTATAATTTCAATTCCATTGGATTTTAATTGAAACATATCTGGTCATTAATTTGCGGATTGAAACCCTAAAACCGCAGCGATAATCGATTACTAATTGCATTCCAAATACTGTTCAATTAATTACCTTTAATTAGGAAGTAAAAAAAAACTATTTTCAATATTTATTACCAAACGAGATAAATAAACGTTAAAGGAATATCAAAGTTTGTTTCAATCGCTAATGAATTATAATTCGCTAAGTGTTTTTGGACCATTAAAATCGCATCAAAGGTTGAAAGCAATTGAAAGTTTATAAGCTCTAAAATGTGGATGTCGCGTACTTTCGAGACTGCGAAGTAAGTCTACGTCTACATCTCTCCACATGACGACGTTAAAAATATACATTTTTAATAACATCCCTTCGGAATACACCGCATAAAAGCGAAGCAATAAAATTGACTACATAAATTACGAAATAGCGTAATTTAATAATGTTGTAACCAACAAAGTTAAACGTATAAAAATAAAAACACACAACTTGAATTATGTGAACAGGTATAAAATTTAATATTTTGCTGTAATTAAACACAGATTTAATATAGTACATTTTCTTTAAATAATCTCAAGTAATATCATAGAATAATCATCATATTTTCAAAAATCTGACAAATTCTTTATTCTTTCTTAATTTGACTAGTTATAACTTTTATTAAAGTATTCAAAATGTATTTTTTCCAATTGTGCTGAAAACTGGAAATGTCATGAATACATGTACATTTTCTATATTAATTAAAATGTATGAAATAAATACTGTTAAGCTACGGATTGTGATAAACATAATTATAATCTTTCTCTATAATTTATTATGTACAATTTATTTAACACTGTAATACAGTTGAGGTAAAATGACATCTGCTACTGCAATATGGAAGCTTTGCTCAAACCGCTGTGTCAATTGCACACATTTGGTAGAATCCAGCACAGTGTTATTAATATGCACGTATTACAGTAATTTCCTTTTCTGTACAAGTTATTCCACTGTATTCAAGCAAACAAGTCACTCATGAGTAAAAGTTTCATGTAATTGCAGTTGCTACAATATGAATGAATCTACTATGTAAACTAATTTCATTCATTGTATTTTCGTCAATTAATATGACCCAAATTCAATACATATTTAATCTTTCGATACACATTTTTTAGTATATTAACAACACTTCTATTCTTCCATATCAAAACAACATTTTCGATTTTCCCCAGTATAAGACGATTTTAATTTTTGGACCCCAAAAGCAAGAAATGCAATGAAAAAAATCTACAACTACAGTATCAGACACACCTATACCAAACATTTTCATATACTTAAGAAAATACGTTAACTTATAGAACCAATAGATTGTTTGAAGATTTTCTATTTTCCTAATGATATAATCATTAATGCTTGAATTCTGTTTTTCAGTATATTTTAATTGGATAAATTAATATCAAAATACAGGATCTGATTTTTTTTCTGTCCAATTTAAATTAACAATGAAACAGATTTATCAGTTTATAAATTTGTCAAACAGACATTTATCAAAGTGACAGCTTCTCTTCATATGACGCAATATTAACATGAAACTGCTGAGTGTTATAGCTTCTATTATCTTGATAAAATAGATGATTTCACAGATTATATTGCTATATTATGAATATGACATAATATGAAATATTTGGCGAGTTTATAAATTTGTCATATAGACATTTATCAAAATGACAGCTTCTTCCCATATGACGCAATGCGCATTGCAAGATCATCATAAAATAGTTGAGTATCATAATTTGTATATGTATGTGTAAGATATTGTATAATTAGTATAAATGTTTTTGTTTTATTAATCTAATAAAATAAGTTCATTGTGAATTTGAGCCTAAACAAGTCTCAAATTTACAAAGTAGGATTTCACACATAGCTTTATAATATTGCGTCATACGGATAACGTGATATGAAATATTTGGCGGGAAATATTCAAATTTAAATTTATAATGGAACAGGATTTACCAGAAGTTTGTAGATTTTCCAAGAAGACATTTATCAAAATAACAGTCTTTTCCCGTTTGAAGCAATGCGCATTAAAATATTTGAATAAAATAGTTATAATACCATTAATATAAATATTGTAATTAATTGGTTCAAATAAAGCAAATATGATTTCACGCGGTTGTAAATCACAAGCCCGACAACCGAAAAACCGTCTATCGAAATCCCGACGTTCGAAATCCCGACTACCATAATCCCGACAATCAAAATCCCGACTATATCTACCATACTACCTGACTTCCATAAAAATGTTATTGTAGAAATTTGTAATAATAAATGACACTGTCGGGATTTTGATTGTCAGGATTATGGTAGTCGGGATTTTGACATAGTCGGGATTTCGATATAGTCGGGATTTCGAATGTCGGTATTTTGAGCCAGCCGGGATTTCGAACGTCGGGATTTTGATACACTCGGGATCCGTATAACGTGAGACATATTAGGCGGGAAGTTTTCCAATTTACGTACAGAATTTACCAGAAATCTATAAATTTGTCTCATTTATGAAAATGACAGGTTTTTCCTTTATGACGAAATATCCAATAAAATATATCAAAATAAAGTGTCAAATCTTGTATAATTGTATCATTATATAATATGATAAATAATGTAGTTTAATGTATTTTAACGTAGTAAGTTCATAGTTGTTTAGGCTCAAAAGCTGAGACTGCGTGTGAATTGTGGAGTCGTAATAAAGTGTTCGGCGCGAAGGGTGATCAAATAAGATTACTCCAGATTTTGACAGTTAATGTCGCCTGTCAAATTACATTTAGTAATGTCGGCTTTATTAATGCGGATGATGCGAACCGACATCAGATTACGTGTACTAAAAATCCGTTTTACTTTGAAGTGGATGACTTTTAATATATATTTACCTTCTACACCGAAAGAAAGAAAAAAACAATTCAGAAATCAACCCTCACCTCCTCACAAGCCGTCGGCTTATTATGAATTAGTTTCATCCGGAGTCGCAAATTGAATTAAAAAGTTCATATTTATAACCCAGATGGGGTTAGTGGAAAGAGCCAAAAACCGATGACATATTCATAATTTATAAAGTTGCGACAGGCGCGCTCCGATTAATCCTGCTGGCGGCAAAGCAAAGCAGGGCAGGACTTAGTCCTGCGACGATTCTATACTCACACACGTAAACGTACAAAATATAGAGAGTTCCAAAGTGAAATTTAAAGCGTGTCTTTCCGATACTTGGAATGAGGCCAAAGCCACGGAAACCCAGAAAAAAGGGTTTTTGAACAAAAAAAATAGGGGGCGGTGCACAAAAAAAGATTAGTATAGAGGGAAGCCGGATCTACGGCAACGATTTCCCAGCGAGATTTACGAGTTCGCACAGAAAATAGGGCATAACTCTAAGTGTCCGCAAGATTCCATCTCCTTTTTTTATATTCTAACTTTAATTTATTTTTATTTTTATATGCTTTTATTGCCGCAATAAATTTACGTAAGGGACGAAACGTTTCATATTTTTTTTAAATGAAAATCTTTTGTTAATAATTATACTGGAACCCTTTTTATAATCTAATTCAGTGATGATAAAATATCAACATTTTTGTTGCAAATATAAATTACAAAAAAATATTTTAGAGTAAATCTAACAAAATTTCAAGAAAATAATTTTATAATTTGTTATATACACTTTTGTTAACAAGTTTTTAAGTAAATTTAAAAATACATTTTTATTCTCAAAAATTATTTAATATCAACATTATGAACATTTTTTTTTAAATAAATAAATTATATTGAATTGAATTTTATTAATTTAATTAAACGTTTTTAAATTATGAACACAAATTATTTAAATATTAATAAATAATTAAATTTACTTGATTAGTAATAATTAATTCATATATGAATGCAATAAATTAAAGTTATTATGAAGTAATTTCCAACAAAAAATTGTAAAAAAAATAAAACAATAAATAAATAAATATTATTATGTAAAAACTTACCGTTTCGATGGCTTTTTCCAGTCGGAAAATCTCTTCTTGAAGCAGATGTAGGGTACCAGTTTTTCCGCGATGTCTGGCAAATGCTGCGGCACATGCACTGTGGATGCTATTCACCCAATTTTCCAATTCAACCTAGAACAGAAAACCTTAATCAAAACATGTCTATTTACATTCGATTTGTACACACGCATGTCAATTGGATCGTATCTCTATAGAAACCAGATGTGTTTGATTTGATGTTAACGGTTATTAGTAACATGTGATTTGCTCGTAAAGTATAACAGTGCTGCTAGTCAATTCCAAACTAACGCTAATCTTGTTAAGATAGTCGCACATCGCTCTGGAGAAAATTCAGAGTTTAAAAAATAAATAAATACTTGTCTTGTAGTTGTCAAATAAAGATCGTGCCTCAAATTGTATCGATTAATAACCAATAAACGTTTAGTGTAAAAAGTTATAGTGCGTTACAAATTAAATGTATACTTGCCATGTACTTGTCAAGTCTATATTTTATGACAACTGAAGCATATCTCATAATAATTGTCGTTTGTTTTAAAGTGATACTAAAGTGTCATGTACTTGTCAAGTAGCAAGTAATGTATTTCCAGGATATAACATAACATGATTTATGTCATAAGTGAATATTGAAAAATGTAGTGTAAATACTTAATAAGCTGTAACGATACTTTACGTAATACATTAACTCTATACTTGTCATGTACTTGACAAGTATAGAACAATGTGTTTCAACAATATAACAAGACATGTTTTCTAAAACAACTGAAGCTTGCTTGTAAGTTTTATCAAGTATTATGTAGTAAAAAATCACTGTAAATATTTATAAACTTGTATCCTCACTATTCGTAAAAAAAAAGTAAGACAATTTGTATTGACTTGAAATTTGTTATGTACTTGTCAAGTGTTTCAAAAATATAACCATGTCATGTTTTCAATGATAAATTAAGCTTGTCTCGTAAGATTTATCGAATACTATTTAGTAAACATTCAGTGTAAATACCCATAAAACTGTGTCCACACTATAGGTAAGAATTAAAATTAATATTTGACAAGTATGAAGTAGTGTTTTCATAACTTAACATGACATGGTTTCTATGACAACATATTTTATCGATTGTAAAAGTAAAACTTCAAGGTAAAAACTGATAAAGCTCACCTAACATAAGACATAGTAAGTTAAATGTTAACTATAGCTATTCCTGAAAAGAATACTATTTAATATAATTATAGTGTGAAATCAGCTTTACTAAACATAAAATTGTACTTGAAAATATAAATACTGAATATATAAATACTGTAAATTCATTAAATTTTAAAGTGATTTTTTTACACGATTTTACAGATTTTTTTTACACGATTTTTTTTATACTGATATATAATGGTTAGCATAAAAATTTACTATAAGAATTTTACTGAAGTGAATCAATGTTGCATATTGGTATAACGGAAATGGATGAAATTCTTATTGCTGCCGGCGGATTCAAAAATTCCTTGGTCCCTCGTCCTCCCCTATCGTCGCATTTCTCGCGTACGCTTTTTTCCACGATGTTTTCATATTTCATGGGCACTTAAATTGGAATAATTTAGCGCCCCGGAATTCCATCGATCCGCACCGTTGAATATTTCAGCGAGTGAAAATTGAATTCCGATGCAATCCATGCGCTGTATGCATGCGGCGCCTACATTTTTTTTTAACCCATAACCATTCAACTTCTCTTCTCTTTTTTGTATTACTATTTTGCGCAGATAAAAGTAACTAAGCGTTATTAAACTCTCCAAAATTCGAACTCTCATAATCAAATATACCATGCAATGAGAATACAAATCAATTATAACAAGCAATTTCGAATTATTAACAACTTTGATTATCTTTGAGTAATAGGTATATTTTTGCATCGACAATATGTTTGTTAAAATGCAGAAAAAAAATTACAGATTGATTCAGCAATATCTAGCGATCCCCGGACTGTTTGAAACCGGACTAATTAAGGAAAAAGCGATAATTTATATTAAATTTAACAAATTTAGATACTTTTTTTTACAATTTTATAACAATTTAAAGAATGAAGAAAGCAATATTTGCAGAAATACAAATCCGTCAAGTTTTTGTGAAAACTATTAATGTAATATGTAATTACTATATAAATAAAATCTCTATTAATGCAATATTATAAAATAGAAAATTAGAAAAAAAAAAGGTCAGTGAAAAATTAAATGTTCAAAATATTGAAAATAATGTTATAAAACAGTATTTCCAATAAAATTTAAGTCTGGATAAAAAAATGGTTCAATTTCAAACTGAAATAAAAGTTTCAATATATTAAATATTAGTTTTTGATGTAGCTTATTTTCATTTTAAATAAAATTGTTTCATACTTCGAAAAAAAAAACATTGAAAATACGATCATTGTTTCAATAATAAAAAAACTAAAACTATGTACATTTTATATAAAAATGCTTTTTCGCAGCCATCAATATTAAAGTGCTTTACAAATGTTTGCATGGACTATCTATTGAAACAATGTTATTTTTGTACATTTGAAGCCCACGAAGTGAGAAACGGGTTCATTCACACATTGCCCAAAATATCAATGAATACAAGGTTGAAATTTTCAATACGATGTTGCATTTAAATTTTAAATAATCAGTTTTCTACTCATATTTATACGTATTGATTATAAAAAAATAATAATAAATAAAATCATTCGAAATATATTTGAAATTATGATTCAACTAAAACATAAAAATGTATCTTTTCAAATACATGAAATAAAATGTAAATTATTTAATTATTTAATTTATGAGTATATAAGTATTTCGATTGCAAAGTAATACTGAATATATCTCGAGTAGTGCGGATACACTAAAAAATTAGTACACAAAATTATATTTTTAAACATAATAGTCGTATTTCATTCTTTTTGTGTTGTTTAATTTTATATCGTTTAAAAGTCCTCGATTAGATTGGTTTTATAAAGGGAAGATATATTTAAAATCAAAAGTTATAAGTATGAAGAGAGCCTTGTCTCTCTATTGACAAGTCTAAAGACAATGAATCAAATGCAGTAATTTTCAGAAGTACAAAAATCTGTTAATTAAAATAAAAAAATTAAATGTTGGTAATTATAAATTACGTAATAAAATATTGGACTTAATTTAATGAATGATAACTAAATTGAAAAAAGTCTATTAAAACTTACATATTGTTTGGATATAAAGAAAGTTTTACGTTATTTTACATTATTTAAGATATGAATGCTAAAAGAGAAGACAATTAATATAATTAGCATTGATTTAGCGGATGTTGATGCTACATAGATCGTGGTTTTTAAATCACCCACGTTTAGAAATCCTTTTATGTTTAACATAGTTATTGACCTCCAATGATTATTTTCTTAAATTATTTATCCAAGGTCGACCTTACTTACTCATGTTAAATATTGCTCAAAATTAGGAATGATTCATCAAATACACCTAATCTTACTTTGTCATAATGTCTTCATATTTTATAAATAATTGTAATATTTAAAAAAAATTCTTTAAAAATAAAATTAATAATTTGTATATGTTTTTGACATATCGCACGGTTCCAGCAATATGTTGAACTGTTTGAAACCGGACTAATCGGGGGGGAGAATAATCTGCTTTTAGAATTTATTGTGTTTAATCCGGATTGATCAAAGCCGGACTTTTCGAGGTATTGCTGTAAACAGAATAACTTCAATGTTCTTATTGAATAATATATTTATTCTTTTATTATAAATTTAAATTTAGAAAATATAGTCTACTATATGTAAATTATTCTCAATATTTATAATGAAATTGTATGAAAAATAATTGTTATGTAATACATTTTATATTACAACAATTTATTTATATTAACAAATAGATTAAAAAAAACATCCTTATTATAATTAAGGTTGTTATCCTGTTGAACTATGTATAATAAATATTAGTACAAACGTCGTATTTGAGTAGTTGATTACACGAAACTACAATAAGCATTAAAACTTTTGTTCTTCGCAAAAGTTATTGCGTGCAATTTGAGGAAATCGAATTAATACCTTACAATTCCTTCGGTGATAATTGTTTAATTAATAACGGCAGATTCCTCTGCCGGAGCAATTGTTCCGAAGTTTGCGATGACCTTGTCATCAGCAGTCCCAAAATTAGTCGACTAATTGTTCGCATTCTGAGCCAAAGGGCTCCGACGCACACGCACAAAAAGCACAGAGCTTAAAGGGCTCATCACAACCATTTTCCAACAATCCACCAAACTTCGCATCCATCTACTCTTTTTTTTTTAATCCTTCTTTGTTCTTCCTTTAAACGTCTTAATCCAATTAGATCGCCGGATTAGAGCACATTTAACTAATGATACACTTCACGTGAGGTTTGCAAATTGAAGATTGCCGAAACCGAAGGCAATAGAAAGCACAACGCGCACAGTTCGAGGCAGTCGGATAAACTAATGCACATGTAATATTTATTGGTTTGTTTGCACAATCCATTACCGGTTTACGTATATAAATAAAGTATAAAAAAAAATGAAGTAAAATTTGGTGCGGTCACGTGATCATTGGGCGGCAACTCAAACATATTTGCGTCTGTTTGTTTTCCTTCGTGTTACGCGAAACCCACATTTCGCCTTTGATGTTTACCATATTTGTAAAGAAAATAGAGCAAAGCAGGTAATGGAAGGAACAACATCAACGAACTACATAAACTCTACGTGTAATAGAAAGAGATGATGAGATGAATATGGAAGGTAGAAAAGGATGGAATACGAAATTGTGATTCGTATGCAAATATTTTCGCACTCCGTGTAACATTATCACCAAGTGTCTCGTTCGTATTTACGATTATAAAAAAAGTGCGTCTATTTATTTTGTAACGGACTTTGGCATAAAGCAAAGTGTCTATTATCAATTTCTGTATTTCGTGAAATTACAAAAATATGAACATAACGAAAGTAAAAGTATAAAAACAAAATGCAGTATTTACCGTAACATTAATACATTACTTGTCACATAACATGTAATTATCTAAGAAAAAAATTATTGTTTCAATATACAACATTTTATAGACAAATAAAAAAAGTATATATTTTTTTCAATGTGATTTGTGCAATTCTATAGAACTCATACTGCTAATTTGTGCATTCAGTTGAATAGAATACGATTGTACTAAAGGCAATATCCGCATATAGTTGAATAATTAATAAACATTGCAGCCATCATGCAATAATATTGAATCAAATTGAATAGATGTTACCACAATTACGGATGTACAGAAAACCGCTAATTTATTTCATTGATTGTGTTCAAATAATTAACTAAAATTCAGTTCATTAATTATGCCTTCCCACCCATCATTGTCTCCTACATCAAATCAATACTTTAGTATTAATATATTCAATTTGTGTGTATAGACAATTTTATTGGACCTTCAATTTGTAAGAATGATAATAAAATATGAACTTAAGTATCTACAGCAATACCTCGTATAGTCCTGTTAATTAGTTCTTCTAATATCCCGGATTGTTTGAAATCGAGGCACTAAATAACAAAAAGTAATACGTGATAATACGTAAAGTATAAAATTGATCATTTTTCTATAGAAAACTAATTTTGTGTCAATTAAAGTTTAGATTATTTTGAATTTTTTAACTCGGACTATAGTGAATCCGGACTTATCAATAACGTACTATGTGAGGTTTTACTGTATTAGATATTTATTTAAATCCAGACTAACCGAATCCACGCTATGTAAAGCTGTATGCTGTATTTAGTAACAATTTTCATCAACATGAAATCAATACAAACTGGTATATATAAATCAAGTGTGAAATACATCCAATTTGATAAAGGCAGGTGTACAGCCAAATTTTATTACACCATCTTGAGGAAAGTTCAGGACAAAGAACCGGTGCTGATAATATGGAAAGCAAAATTGCAGTGCAACCAGGGTTCCGATAAAGGACGACTTTATGGTTATTGCAAGTGGTCTTCATTGTCTCTGCTTGGGTGTGGGTGTTATCAAACGAAGAAAGAAGAGAAAAACAGAAGAAGGGGAGACGAGATAGCATTTAACGTTACCTGGCATGGCGCTTGGAAGAGATAAGCGTCTCCGAAGGCAGTGCTCAGACAGAAGATGTACTCCCTCTTCGGATGTTCTGGGATGGGTTGCATGATGGCACCGTCGACGATGATCAGATGTTTGGGGGCCGCCTCCACGGAACGGCCTTCGCGCGAATCGCACGGATAGAACAACAGAGTGGTGCCCTTCAGGCACACCCAGTATCCCTTCCAGCCGCGTTTTCTCGCCAATTCGATCTGGTGTTTCTTACGCAATAACCACTTCTTAACACTTAAAAATCTGTAACAAAGGAAATACATATTTTAATAATGATAAAACTCACAGATCATAATTGATTTTAAAATAATGTTACACAAATATTATGTAAACATTTTAATAATGCAAATAAGTATAAATTTCTTGTTGATTATTTTTCATAAATAATGTTAATTTTATATTTTGTAAAAATCGTTATTAAGTAGAAATCAAACTGAAAATTAAGTTTTGATACGAACAATTTTTTGCTGATGTAAACATTTATTATATTTTATACTTATAATAAGGAATATTATAGTGTTTTCTTTTTATATAAACAACAAAAATTATAAATTAAAAACTACCTATTACTAACATTAGTATTAATTTGAAATACACAATAATAAAATTTGTAAGTGAAATGAATGTATATGATTCTCGAAAAAAAAATCAGTGTTAGCAAAAAGTAAAGTATGTTTACCATTAGCTTTATTTATAACGACAATAAATTTGAAGCGACATCAAATTTCCCGAAAATTACTGCCTTAATGTGATTAAATGAATCGGAGAATCTCCTTGATGTATAATAATGGCATAGGCGTCGTTTCTGGATATCCGCCAAACCGGAAAAAAAAAGAAAGGGCACGCGGATAATGATGACGTTTGTTTTTGTTTGCACTCCAAATCAATAATATCTCCCATACTTCGCACATTCGAGGGTATAATGAAATTAAGCTGAAATCAGCTAAAACTTGGAACAACGCAAAAAATAATGCAAGAGAAACTTTATGTAATTGATATATTCTTGTATCCTAAGATCCTTGTGTTCATTTCCCTTCTTCCGCCACTTGCTTCTTACGAAGGAAGATCATAAATCCTCCGAAATGGGTTTGTTATTTCTTCCGGGAGTGAAATATCGGCGACGCGATCTGGCTTTAACGCAGTTAGGGCGAAAGGGATGCGCCCCGCTTATGTCCCTATTTTATTTCCATCTGCTGCGCTACCTTGAAATACATTAGAGCGGTTCCTTCCGAAACAAGGATTCTCGTAGCCGTTGGAAATTAATTTATCCTGCGTAGGAGGAAAGGATGCACGTGCTGCCGTGATCTCCATTTGTAGCATGAATTGGAATTGTTGATGGATTCGGGGAACATTGGTAGTCCACTAATAAGTTGTTGTCTGTCCAGTCAGGCGATTGAGTTATTTCCGTTATTGATATTGACTGATGATCTGCGCTCAGTCTTAAACCTCAAAGCAATTTCCGAAATTGCCAAGTTACGTGTGCGGTTCGCTTCCTCGGACCAAGACAATTGCTTCTAATTTTCACGTGAAAACTTCCACAACTATTCCGCTTATACCAACTACGAATGATCTGAAGTTTCCCAATGGTCAACCGCTTAAAGTTTTAACGTATTTCCAAATGATATGATATGAACACAACAATATTAGAACACAAAACAATGCTTTTTTTTATCAATATGTTTTGAAACTACAGTAAAAATTGAGAAAAGTAATTATTGAGAATGAATAAAAGATGATTAATTAAATTTTCTTTTTTTATGTCCCTAATGTATATAATATTGTTTTTGTTGATAATTAGAAATTATTACTTTGAAAATTGCTTAGTTATTACAAAGATTTAAACTAATTTAGGTTTATTATACTTTCTATGAATTGTGCATGTATTATGTAAGTTTCAACAGTTTGAGTTGGTTGATTTTTTTCAATTACAAACTAATATTTTTGTAAAATAAGATACTTTTATAATTAATAAATTGTAAATATTAATTAAATTTTCTTTTTTTATGTCCCTAATGTATATAATATTGTTTTTGTTGATAATTAGAAATTATTACTTTGAAAATTGCTTAGTTATTACAAAGATTTAAACTAATTTAGGTTTATTATACTTTCTATGAATTGTGCATGTATTATGTAAGTTTCAACAGTTTGAGTTGGTTGATTTTTTTTTTCAATTACAAACTAATATTTTTGTAAAATAAGATACTTTTATAATTAATAAATTGTAAATAGACGTAGATATAAAGAAAATGTACACATCATTAAAAATCCATTTGTATGTATATACATGAAATTCAAACGGAAATACGTAAATAAATAAATGTTTTGAATATCAAATAAAATGTATGTTTCGTATTTCGCAGATATATGTTTTTTAATCGAATTGTCGACAAATGGGGTCTTCAATTTCCTCGAATAACCAGTAAATATTGACACATGCCAATTCATCAATCACGCTTGTTTTTACGGATAATCGAGAGGGCAGGACAGACTGAGTGATTGAAGTAATGTACACAACATAATAATTTCGATTAGCTTCCAAATATTTTGCTTAGCACACGCGAGTGACGTGTTCCATCGATCCAAGTTACCATTAAAATTTATTTTTATTTTACAAATTCCATATTTGTTTATTATTCGGAAAGGCCAGTAATGTATGCAGATGAGCACGTAATTGTGTTTTGCAAACAGAATATGAAAACACGCATGTATTTTATTATTTATGTATAAATCGGGTATGAACAAGAGCAATATTTGTCATCATCAAAATATAATGTTTTTTTTTTTTGTTAATTATTTTATTTCTAGGAAATTCTATACATTCGAAATTGCTGCATATTTTTGGGAATTTATGTTAATGCCTTTTGTTCGCGCCCCATCAATTTGGACGCAAATTCGAAATGTTTCAAATTATGATAAATAATATTTATAGAAGGGACAGACACATACACCATCATTTTTGTGCACGAGAAATTATTTCACTTCCATATATAATAATTATGATTTGCGTGTTTCGTAAAATCGATGCTGTTGTTTCAAATGGAAATGTATGACAGTAAAATTATTTATGCACGAACCATTTCAAAAATTCACAATTTATGTACATTAACCCGTAACTACTACGGACAAATAAATAAAACACAAGTACTACATATGGATCAAAATGACCCGATCATTAAATATTAAAAAAAAATAGAACAAATTATTCATTTTTAGAACATTTCTACATTTCTACATACAAATTGTTATTTACCCTGCATGATATTTGCAATCAGAATTGTAAGATATTAGTATCACATTCTATCATGCATATATGGTTCACACAATACACCTCCTTCATGATTTATCAAACAATATCTAGTATATTTCATTCCCAATGGTCCCAACAGTTTTTTTCTATCGTTATTCTACTTTGAAATCCAAATATTGATGATATAAATGTATAACAACAATAATACGGGTCAATATGACCCGAAATACACTGTTTTGATCAACCTCTACAATTCGAATTCTAATGAAAAGAAATATTAACTGAGTCACTCTGACGTTTTCATATAGTAACAACAGAAATTTTAATAAAAACCTTAGAAATAGTTAAATATTTATATAAGAAATTATCATCATTATTTCTTAAGGGCAGAAACACATATAGCTAATATCCATTATTCTTTGTAGTTTCATTATTGTTATGAATGAAAATGTGTATATTTAATATAAAGCTAAGACCTTTACTTAGATAATGTTTTCTTGTCCGAGAATTTTGAAAAAAGATCAGCGAAAATATCTTCAATTTCCCAAGTGTATATTGTGTTGTTTATAATACTATATTTCCTGTTACTTTCCTTCATTTTCAAAAATGTAATTAAGTATAGGAATTTCAAGAAATTTTAAATTATATAGAAATGTCAAGTATTTTTTATTATTTATATAGACCCCAAAACGAGATAATCTATGATTATAAATATTCTTGATTATAAAAATCCTATGAATAAAAATTCAAGAAATTTACAAGTTTTTCAATAAATATTAAGTTAACTTTTCAAATAACTGCCATAGAAATTTGTTTCTTATATTTAACTCTTCATTATGTAATTAATTGTTCCATAACCTTAAAAACGAAGTCATTTTCTATAATTATTAAAATTAGTTATATGGAAACAATACAAAAAGTTATTTCATATTTCTTGAAAGATTTTTTCAAAATATTATAAAATTTTCACATTTCTACTTGATTATATGAGATCTAGTAAACATTTGTAGATTAATTAATAAATCTTATGATAATTTTTTTTGATCTTGATTTGTCTGTTTTAATATAAATTTGTAATAGTAAATTTCTAAACTTGAAGAAGTTTATATGAAATATTGATAAAAAATTAATGAAACCTTAATAAAAACGATATTAAGAAATTCATAAATCATCCCAGAAAACGCCAGTTAGTAGTGTGATTAATAGTTCTAACACCGAAAGATATTTTTTTAAACGATTAACAAGTGTCGGATCAAAACTTTTCTTGCAAAAAATAAATATATATATATAGTTGGATGAACAAGAAGCGAGTCATTAATTTTAGTTTAAATCGCGGTAGTTTGTTTTTTAATAAATTTCCAACCCTCACGATTTCGCCCCACTTGTCTCCAGACTGTAGACAACGGTCTCATGTAAATAGGAGTTAATTAAAACGCTTTTAATTATTCCTCTTGTTTTCGAAAAGCCACCGCAAGCTCGAAATCTTCCTTGCACGCGATGTTCCCTACTCTTTTTTTTTGGTTGCACTCTCCTACCTCGGTTAAAGGGTGGAGAGATTCTTTCGGTATTTCGCGCGGAAATTTACAACTCCGACCGTGTTGCAAACTTGTGCTTAATTAATACAGAAGCGCGGCCGGAAAGTTTCCTCTGCATAAAATCGTTTCCGCCGGAAACTGCTTTTTCCCCCACTCCACTGTTTGTTTACTACTTATTATCTCGTGATATTGACCACAAAGCTTTACGCTTTACGTACATGACCTGAAGAAGATTGTGATCTCAATCATTGGAGTCTGGCCAAAGCTAATCTCTAATTAATTAATTTTAAACTGTTGCAATTTCCAATTTGGCCCATTTATATTCATAAGCTTTGGTTATTCAATTAAGAAATTTTAGTATTTTGATCGAGGTTACGAATACGTGCTTCAATTGCCAAAACTATAATTATCTGATATACAGAATTTAATCTATTTGTAGCTATTATCGACACA